CCCAGCTACTTAATTAAACAGAAAGCTGACAATGTCAGGGCACCACAAACTGTGGTACATTTTCAATTATTCCTATAGAAGTTATAAATATGCATAATTCTGCAGATCAAAGACCACCAGATGAAATATGATGTGGCAACTATGCGATATATTTTTAAAAGATAGTTTACGTAGCCTTGCTTTATTTTTCCATGGATGGCTTATCTAATGGACCTTTTAGGAAGCAGATATTTTTGGCTTCAAGGTCTTTAATAAATAGCTTTTAGAAAAAGCCATAGTCTAGAAAAAAGAATAGTTCTGAGAAGAGTACAATATCCTTCAACATAGGAGCCTTCCCCAAACTGGGGTGCCTCGGAAATCTTCAACTACAATTCCCTGAAACATGGCTGTAAAGGAATGATTGGAACTGCAACCTCATAACCTCCGCAGGGCATCATGCTTGTAAAGATTGATATAACAGATGATTGCCATGGTGTTGTGCTGTTGTGTTATTTTATATTTTTAATTTAAAAACAGAGATGTATTTTCAAAAAAATATAATACCTATAAACAGGTAATTACTGAAGCTATATAATTAATGTTCACTAGAACATCAGCAGAAGATTCCAAGCAGAATACATTTTGTTTTCATAATTTGAAAAAATAAGTACACATAAAGGTTCGAGCTTCATGCCAAAATTCCCATTACGTTATTACAGGTAGCCCTCGACTTAGTCATTTGTTTGTACAATAGCACTGATAATAGTCACATAGGACTGTTGCAGCATCCCCATGATTCTTCCTGATGTGCTCTGAACTGTTAGAAGAATTTCCAGAATAGAACTGGGAGGGAAATGGTGGAGAGAAGTAAGAAAAGAGCAGAAATCCATTTGTGTGCTGACAAAATAGGTGAATTCTGATATAACATTAAGCCAAGATTTTAAACTACAGCTAGTCCTCAACTTATGACAATTGAGCCCAACATTTCTGTTGCTAAGTGAGACATTTGTTAAGTGAGATTTGCCCCATTTTGTAACTTTCCTTGCCACAGTTATTAAGTGAATCCCTGCAGTTGTTGTGTTAGTAACATGGTTAAGTGAATCTGGCTTTTCCATTGACTTTGCTTGTCAGAAGGTCACAGAAGGGGATCACATGACCTCGAGACATTGCAACCATCATAAATATGAACCAGTTGCCAAGCTTCTGAATTTTGATCACATGACCATGGGGTCGTGTGCAATGGTCGTGTGAAAAATGGTTAAAAGTCACTTTTTTCTGTGCCATTATAACTTTGAATGGTCTATTGTAAGTCGAACTATTGTAAGTGGAGCACTATCTGTATTATGATTTGTTGATCAAACCATAGTGATCAGGTTTACAAATAAAGTTAAGCAAAACCAAATTGCATTATGATTTAGCATTCTGTACAAAGCAGAATATAGAGGCTTCAATCCTTATTGTAGCTAACTTGAAAATAAAATGACAGTTCTTAAGGGAACTCCCAGGTAAATATCAGATTGGACATTTTTATGGATTTAATGCAAGTTACTATTGGCAGGTTTTGTATAATTCTAAGTATAGTGGTACCCTGGTACTCAACTGTTTTGAAACTCATCTAATTTGGTACTCAATGCATTTTGATGTGAAAATTTTGTCCCGGTACTCATCATTTGTTTGGTATTCAACACGCAACCTAGAACTTGTCAGTGTCAACTGCCTTGTGATGCACTACATTATTCCTTATGGGAAAAATCTGTTTGGTACTTATTGTTTTTGGTACTCATCGCATCTCTTGGAACCAGTTAACAATGAGTACCAAGGTACCACTGTATACTTAAAGTAAACCAAACTATAACTAATGTGAGCTACTTCTGATCAAAGAAATTTGGGAAGAGAAGGAAGAACATCCAAGCAACATTCAGAAGGGTTTGATGTTGTATTACTAAGCTGAAGTAAAATAAGTTGAGCTTGATTTCTGGTATATCTGTCCATGTAGTCTTCTTGACAATAGTAATAAAGTAGCTTGTCACTGTCTTTTGGGATGTTTTAAAATTAGAGCCTACAGCTCTAATATTTCTGGTAGGTATTTAAGTATTAACCACGATTAACAGTGCTAAGCTTCTGTCCACAAAAAAGGTGGACTAGGTTCTCCACCTGATGACTAAGGAAGACTTGATAAGTAGTAAGCTGTTTCTGTATTTTTCATATTTTCAACGTTTAATATGGAGATTGGAGCCAAGAGACTCCAATGAAGAATTCACTGAAATTGCAAGAATTATAGAATCATAAAGTTCAAAGAAGCCATTTGTCTGGTTAAAGTCAACCTGCTACTAAGTGCAAAAATCCAAACTGAAGGTGGTTGTCTAGTTCCACTTGAACACATTCAGTGAAAGTGAGTCCATCACTTCTCTAGGTAACTGGATCCACTGCTGAACAGTGTTTATTGCTAGGAATAACATTTAACATTCAATCAGATTTGCCTTTCTGTAACTTAAATCCATTATTCCACATCTGGCATTTAGAACTAGGTTATGATCTTTTTTCCATGACATCCTTTCAAGTGTTTGAAGACAGCTATCGTCTCACACGGTTCTAACCTTCTCTTCTCAAGGCTAAACTTGCTCAGCTCAATCTTTTTTCACAAGCCTTTTTTTCCTAGTCATCTAGTCTTTCTCCCTGCTGTTCTCTGAATTTGTTTCAGTTCATCTGAACCCTTACAGTGTAATGCTCAGAAGTGACTAGATCCGGATGGGATCTAAACAAAGCAGATCTATATTTTTTATTCAGCCTCAGGGGATTGTCAAACAAAAAGCTTTTGGCACAGTTATATAAAATACAGCTGTTTTTCTTTTGAATAGATTCTCGGAAACATTTTTTTATTTGCACATTTATATTAAATATAGCCTAAGATAGGTTTCTTATCTGGGCACGCTTTCCTTGTTTAACTAAGGTAGAAACAGCAAAGGAAAAAAGGGGAAAAAATAATGCAAAAATTGTATGAGAGAGTAGTATGTTGCATCGGACAGAATGTAACCATGTTCTGAAAAATTGCATAATTTTCCAGGTCACTTTTTTCATCTGTATTATTCCCACTTGTTAACTACTACTCCCTATCACTAGGTTCACCAAAGCTTACTAGATGTCTGACAAAAGGACACGTCTTCTTTTTTGTCCTCATGTCTTCAGTCTGGGAGGCATAGCCTTAAAATTAAATACTCTCTGGATTTTTGAGTGTCTTGGTTTTGTTTTACATTGGTCTGTTTCATATCAGCAGTCATTCAAACATTCATGTACTGTGACCTTATAAATTATCTGTTCTTTCCTTGTTCATTGACAGATTTGAAAGCCTAGATCAGTGGTGGCGAACCTATGGCACGGGTGCCAGAGGCGGCACTCAGAGCCCTCTCTGTGGGCACGCGTGCCGTCGCCCCAGTCCTAGGCCTTCAGCTGGGTTTTATAAAACCTTTTCACTTTAGGCCTCCGCTGTGTGCAAAAAAAAAAAAAAGGTTGAATCAATCAGTCAATTTCAATTTCTCGCGGGGGAAAAAAAGATCTTGCAAAGTTGGAATTGATTGATTGAACTTTTTAGTCCCACCCAGTCTGCCGTTACCACTGCAGCCACGCCCACCCAATGGGCCACGCCCACCCAATGGGCCACACCCACTCGGCACCCTACGATGCATAAGTGGGTTTTGGGTTGCAGTTTGGGCACTCGGTCTCTAAAAGGTTCACCATCACTGGCCTAGATTAACCACCTCCCCTCAAATCTATGAACATGGTAGTCTGTAAATCATTATGACTCCTCATACCTTTCCATTCCAGGGGCTGCCACAAAGAAGAGGAGTCAAGCTATTCTCCAAAGCACCTGAGGGCAGGACAAGAAGCAACGGATGGAAACTAATCAAGGGGAGAAGCAACCTAGAACGAAGGAGAAATTTCCTGACAGTTTAGAACAATTAATCAGTGGAACAACCTGCCTTCAGAAGCGATGAATGCTCCAACACTGGAAGTTTTTAAGAAGAGATTGGACAACCATTTGTCTGAAATGGTATAGGGTTTCCTACCTAAGCAGGGGGGTGGACTAGAAGACCTCCAAAGTCTCTTCCACCTCTGTTATTCTATTCCATTCCATAGTAAAATTTGAAATGTAAGAAAGAAAGCATGTTGCCATTACTTCTATATTGTTAGCAAGTTATTGAGAATAAAAAATGTTGGAAAACACTGCAACTGAATAACCAGTAATTTCATATCCATGTAGACCTAACTACATTTGGACACAGAACCCAGAAAGGTGAACATACAATGTGTTCTCCTTTCCCTCATTTATTCTCCTTTCCAATTGTACATGTCCTCCTTTGACATCTGGTAACCCTAGGTCAGGGTTAGGGAACCTTGGCTTTTGTGACTTGTGGACTTCAATTCCCAGAATTCCTGAGTCAGCATGGCTGGTTTAGGAATTCTGGGTATTGAAGTCCACAGGTCATAAAAAAGCCAAGGTTCCCTACCCCTGTCCTAGGTTAAAGCCATAGTTTAATATATCATAACTGACTACATATTCACAGCATGTTAGGTTAGTTTATAGTTCAGTGCATTGTGGGAATCTAATAAACATGATGTTATTAAATCGTTATGGTTTAGCCCCACGTGCAAACCCAGTTTATGCAAATGAAATATCTAAAGTTACTGATCCTACGTTTTATATTAGTTTCATTGAGTGAAGTGAAACACCATAGAATTTAACACCATTACTACCGTAAGAGCAGAGTACAACCTGCGTTCTTTTTTTTTTTTGTAGAGCCTTGATTTCTGGATTGGTCAATAAGGTCTCACGGCAATCGACGTGATAGGCATTTGACTTGATCTGGGGCGTGGCAAAAAGAAGTTTTCCGGTGACGCGTGGGCGGGTCTATGTTAATAATATATACTTTGCTTTCCGTGATTGGCTCCCTTGCATTCTGATGAAAGCCGGGTAAAGTGGCGGGGTAAGCGCTGTGGTTGGACGCTGTCACGCCGCTCTCACGATGAGCCGTACCGGGGGGATCCTTGGCTGCGCCCGTCTTTCTGCGCTCGGTGTCTTGCAGCCCAAGAGTCCTCTAGCTGGTGAGCGATCTCTCATTTTTCTGCAGATTGTGAATGCAGCTGCGTAGCTGGGGGTTTTGCGGAGAGATTTGGCGATCCAGGAGCAAGCGAAAGGCAGGGAGACTTAAAAACAGTGAGATTCAAAAGGGGCGGAGGAGCGCGGGCTAGAGAACGATAGAAAGATATCGGTGTAATCCCATCTCCTTGTCTCTGCAGAAATATTAAGAAAAGATAATTACAGTAGAAGGAAGGGGGAGAGTCTGGTTTTTTGGGAAGACTGCCCAGATCAGTTGCACCGTGTCTCCCATTCCCGCTGGAAAAAGCACTTCTCATTGGCTGGGACCGGTTGGCTGGGACCGGTTGCATTTATACTCCAGTTTATTTGAAGAAGACCAAGTCGAGGAGGTTGGTCCAAATCGGGAAAAAGATAAAGGGGAAGGGCCAATTTAGCGTTTCAGATGATAAGGGGAGAGATGAGCATAAGGTAATGATGATGAGCCCTTGATGAGACAGGCTGCAATATCTGGACAAAGAGATTTTATAGTATGATGCTCTCATGAAAAGAAAAGGAGAGTGCCATTTCTCCCTTTAGGCCTTTATACACATTTTCATCTGAGCATTAAAATTTTGTAAACCAGGAGACTGGGAGCACGGCATGGTGCTGCTGCTGCTGCTGTGTCTTTTGCACATATGCATTTTTGCAATGTCATTTTTTAAGCAGAATGCTTGTTTGCAAATTAAAATATGCAGCCAGCTATTCAGAGGCTCTGTATTATAATGCCTTCTTCATAATGCTGGCATTATAGTCCTGGGCCAGGATAATGTTGTCACAGTTATGCAGTGCTGCTGATGAGTATTCATGAAGTTTCTTGCAAAGGTATAATGCAATTCATTCTTTGACAAAGTGACTAAATTAGTAGACCAGCGAAATGCTGTGGACATAGTATATTTAGACTTCAGCAAGGCATTTGGCAAAGTGGACTACAACTTACTTCTTGGTAAGCTAGAAAAATGTGGTATTGACAGCATTACCCCCAGATGGATTTGTAACTGGCTGACAAACTGTACTCAAAGTGTAGTCTTTAATGGTACTACATCCACATGGAGGGAAGTAAGCAGTGGAGTACACACGGTTGTGTCTTAGGTCCAGTATTCTTCAATATCTTCATAAATGACTTAGATGAGGGAATAGAAGGGGATCTCATCAAATTTGCAGATGACACCAAGTTGGCAGGAATAGCGAACACCCAGAAGACAAGCTCAGAATCTAAAAAGATCTTGACAAACTTGAACAATGGGCCCTATCTAACAAAATAATATTTATTGTGGAGAAAAGCAAAGTTTTACACCTGGGCAGATACAACCAAAGGTACAAGTACAGATTAGGCAAAACCTGGCTCCAAAACAGTAACTGTGAGAGGGACCTTGGAGTCCTAATGGACAATCAGTTAAACATGAATCAGCAATCCTTGGTTGTATAAAAAGAGGCATAGAATCAAAATCACGTGAAATATTAGTAGCGCTTTATAAAGCCTTAGTAAGGCCACATCTGGAATACTTCATCCAGTTTTGGTCACCACATTACAAAAAAGATGTTGAGATTTTGGAAAAAGTGCAGAGAAGAGCAACTAAGATGATTAAAGGCCTGGAGACTAAAACATATGAAAATAGGTTGCAGGATTTGGGAATGGTCAATCAAGAGAAAAGAAGGACTAGGGGGGGGACATGATAGCAGTATTCCAATATTTGAGAGGCTGCCACCAGGAGGAGGGGGTCAATTTATTTTCCAAAGCACCAGAAGGTAAGATAAGAAACAATGTATGGAAACTAATCAAGGAGAGAAGCAACCTGGAATTAAGGAGAAACTTCCTATCAGTGAGAACAATTAACCAGTGGAACAGCTTGCCTTCAGAAATTGTGGGTGCTCGAGGTTTTTAAGAAGACACTGGACAACCACTTGTCTGAAATGATACAGGGAGTCCTGCTTGAGCAGGGGGCTGGACTAGAAGACCTCCAAGGTCCCTTCCAGCTCTATTCTGATTGATTGAAACAACTGTTCTTCATATACACATTAGTTTCTGAATAGCAGTTAATTTAATAAACCATCAATATAGGTGCCCTTAAGATAAAAGAAGATAAAAGCCTAAGAGGCAATGTTGGATTTAGATCAATTTTGTTGACAAAGTTTTGGTAGGAGTCATTTGCACATGATCTAGGTGACTTTCAGATCAGGTTAAGAAAGAGCATAAGAAGCATGTGGTCACTGAGAATTGGTTTGTTTCCAGGCACTGTAAAGTGGTGGTTATGATTACCAAAACCATGGATAAATACAAGAATATTCAAAGATCACATACTTGCGTTAGACCCTATCAAAAATTCAGGGGCCCTTCTTTCTGTATCACTTCTATAGGAAGTATATTTGGAGAATATATAAGAAACAATGACTCTTCTGTGGCTGCACTCTGTGTAAATCCTTGCCACGGAATAACATACAGGTAATCCTTGACTTACAACCATAATGGAGCCCAAAATTTTTGTCTTGTTGCTAAGTGAGACAAAACTCATTTAAGTGAGTTTTGCCCCATTTTATGATCTTTCTTGTCACAGTTGTTAAGTGAATCACTGCATTGTTAAGTTGGTATCATGGTGGTTAAATGAATTTGGCTTCCCCATTGACTTTGACTGTGAGTAATATAGCAGTGAGAACATCAGGTGTATAATCCCCCATTTGATTAGCTCCTGCCAGTATTTAGCCAGTATTTAATCCTTTCTCTTCTGAAATAATTATTTTCCTGGGAACTACAGCAGTTATTGTGCAAACTATCTGAAGGAAACTAATATTGTCCTGTTATTTCCAATACTTTGTGACTCAGTGGACATCATTTCTCCAAGATAGTCTATCAGTAACTCTTTTTTTTAAAATTCCTTTTAAATTCTTTTAAATTCCTGCTTGTGAGTTCACTGATTGTACCTAATCATCTAATCTTCTCTCAGCCTTCCATTTTTCAGAAGTACCAGGAGTCTTCTCCAATGACTTTAGTATTGCCTTTGCATCATGTGTCCAAAATATTTAAACTTGAGCTTCATTCTAGTGCTTCCAGCAAGCAGTTTGGATTTACTTTGTCTATCATGGAATAATATGTTTTTCTTGCAGCCCAAGTTTTTCTCAATACTTTTCTCCTTCCAACATAAAGGTGAATGAAAGTTCTAAAAGGAGAGAGACTGAAAAGATTCTTAACTGAATTTATACATTCAGATCAAAATGGTTTTTTTTACCAAAGAGACAAATAAAAAATAATTTAAGAGTAATAATGGATGTATTGAAATATGAGTTACATCCAGGGAAACAATTGGCACTAATATTTTTAGAGGCCCAAAAGGCATTTGATAATGTTTCCTGGCAATTTATGATTCAGCAACTAAAAGTAATGAACTTTGGACAAAACTTTATAAATATGATTAAAACAATATACAATAAACAAACAGCAAAAGTGATTGTGAATGGAGATTACACAGAGAACTTTGAGATAAGAAAAGGTACAAGGCAAGGATGTCCATTATCTCCATTGTTATTTATTCTGACCTTGGAAGTTTTAAATAGAAATATTAGACAAGATACAGAAATTAAAGGACTAGAAATAAAATGTGAAACATACAAGTTACAAGCATTTGCTGATGATTTGGTATTTATTTTAGAAGAACCTTTGGAGATGATTCCTAAACTACTGGGAAAGATAGAACAGTATAGAGAAATAGCAGGGTTGAAAATAAACAGAGAAAAAACTAAAGTAATAGTAAAAAATATTTCAGATAAACAAAAAAAAAAACAAATGTCAGAAAAAATAGAATTACAAATAGTTAAAAAGGTCAAATATCTGGGAATATACTTAACAGAAAGATGTTCAATGATAAAAGAAGATAACTATACAAAACTATTTAATCAAATAAGAGTGGATTTGGAAAAATGGAAAAACTTGCAATTGTCACTATTAGGAAGAATTGCTACAGTGAAAATGAATATATTACCGAAAAATCTTATTTTTATTCCAAACAATACCTATAAAACTTGAGAAAAAATTCTTTGAAGATTTAAATTCATTAATTTTGAAATTTATTTGGCAAGGAAAGAAAGCTAGAATTAAGATGAAAATGTTACAAGATGCCAAGGAAAATGGAGGTTTGGGTTTACCAGAATGGGTTTCATATTACCAAGCATCTGTATTAACATGGGTAAAAGAATGGATAATTCTTAGAAACAAAAGGTTGTTATATCTGGAGGGACATGATTTACAGTTGGGGTGGCACGCTTTCTTATGGTACTTCCAAAATCACCATATAAGAAATGCATTATTAACAACATGGGGAAAAATAAAATGTAAAATATATCTGAAAATTCCAGGGTGGTTGTCAACAATGGAAACATTTGTATACCCAAATTTAGTTGACTTTGAAAACATCTGGACATATAGAGATATTTTAAACTCTGAAGGGAATTTAAAATCTAAACAAGAAATGGAAAATCAGGGTATTAATTTATCATGGTGGGCACATTTACAAATGCAAACTAGATATGATAAAGATGTTAAATTGTATGGTTTTTATAAGGAGCAAACCTTGTTTGATAAGATATTATTAACTTCTGATGAGAAACTAATTAAGAAAATTTATAATTTTTAATTAACTTTGAAAATGGAAAGCAAACAAGTTAAAGAAAAAATGATAAGATGAGCAAAAAGTTTTTGGATATAATATAGAATTAGAAAAATGGTAAAATTTATGGGAAAGAAATTATAAACTGACAATGTCAACTTCCTACAAAGAAAATTTATATAAAATGTTTTATAGATGGAACTTGCCACCAGCAAGATTAGCAAAAATGTTTAAAAACATGTCAGATAGATGTTGGAAATGCAAACAGAAGTCAGGCACTTATTACAATGTTTGGTGGACATGTGCCAAAGCAAAGAGTTATTGGAAAAAGATACATGCTTGGCTAGAAAAAATGTTGGGAGAACATGTAGATTTTAAACCTGAACTTTTTTTATTAGGTATAATGCCAGAAAAGACTGGTAAACGTATATTTGACTTTGCATATTACAACAGCGGCAAGAATTATATTTGCACAATATTGGAAAAATGAAGGAATACCATCAGATGAAGAAATAATTAAAAAAATATTAGAATGCGCGGAGATGCATAGACTGACTCTGAGACTGAAAGAAAAAGAAGAAACGGACTATTATCAAACTTGGGACTTATTTTATCGATGGCTAGAGGAAAGAATAAAGGATTAGGAACTAAACATGTATTAGCGAATGTAAACTCAGACAGAACGTTTGTTGAATAAATACTACTGAATGTATGGAAAAAATCAATAAAAACCTTTTTTTTAAAAAAAAATTCTAAAAGGACTTAAGCTCAAGTAACAAGTAAAGATTATATGTGAACTATTCTTTTCTCCCATGGCATCATCAATTTCTTGATACTCAGAGCCAGGGAATGAACAATAGAAGGAGTATTTGTAAGATTCTTTTTTTAGCAACATATCTGGACATTTCTTTCTTTTTTTTTAAAGAAAGTTCTAAAAGGACTTAAGCCCAAGTAACAAATAAAGATTATATGTGAACTATTCTTTTCTCCCATGGCATCATCAATTTCTTGATACTCAGAGCCAGAAAATGAACAATAGAAGTATTTGTAAGATTCTTTTTTTAGCAACATACTTGGACATTTCTTTGCATGTTATAGTAAAAAAAAAGTCAATAAATGTCAAGGTTGTTGCACTGGAAAAAAAGGCTGTCATGTCTAGACCTTCACATCTCTGATTAACTCAATGATTTCTGGCCTCTGGATTTTTATTTTTATTTTGCTATAATGATTAGTAGGCCGGGGGATTCTTCCGTGGGCCCCCACGGCCCAATCTGGGCTCCAGAGGCCTTTTCCAGGCCACTGCCCCATTTTACGACCTTTCTTGCCACAGAGGCTAAGTAAATCACTGCTGTTGTTAAGTTAGTAACAGTGTTGTTGTTAAGTGAATCTGGCTCCATTGACTTTTTTTGTCAGAAGGTCACAAAAGATTGTGCAACGAGGTCAGCGCAACCATCATAAATATGAAGTAAATTGCCAAGGTTCCAAATTTTGATTATGTGACTGTGGGGATGCTGCAATGGTCATGTAAGTGTGAAAAATGGTCATATGTCACTTTTTTTCAGTGCTGTTGTAACTTCAAACGGTCACTAAACAAAATGTAAGTCAAGGACTACCTGTATGTGATTTCTTCTTTTTCTTGCAAATCTGTTCTCAGGTATCAAGCGGCTTCTTTCCACAGCTGAGTTCAGACCTCGAATATGTATTGTAGGCAGTGGACCAGCTGGATTCTACACAGCACAGCATCTCCTGAAGGTAATGGGCACATTTATAAGGACAAACACCTGGGTTCTTATCTGCCTGCTAGTTTAGAGCCATTGAGAGCCTGCAATTAGTTTTGGAAGACAAAGTTTCCTTAATGTAGGTCTAAGCAAGTTTTGACTTCCATCGCTCCTGTCATTATGGAAGTGCAAAGAATTCTCAGAGATACAATCCACATTCGCTGTTTAAGTCTTTTTGTGTGCTTTAATAGGATTTAGACATGACTGGAGATTCTTGAATTATGCCACAATCAGTCATTGGCATTAAAAAAACTGGTTCCAAGGCTGAATATTAATAGTAACCTCTTATATAAATTTGGATGCCTCCCACCCAAAAAAAAGCCTTCAAGACTTGGTTCATCCCCGGGCATTGGGCCAAGGTATTGGATGAGCCCATCTTGCAATGGTTTGGGAACATAAAATATTATTATGCTTTGGTTCAGCTGCATTTATTGTTTTTACTCGTGTTGGTTCTTTTTTTGTTCTCTTAAAGTAAACCTTTTGCAAGTTGCCCAGAATGGCAACTGTGAGTTGGGTGGCCACAGAAACATCTTGAATCAATCAATCAATCAATCAACCAATCAATCAACCAACCAACCAACCAACCAACCAACCAATCAATCAATCAATCAATCAATCTCTATTTCCAGGAACCAGAGTGCCCCAGAGAGGTAGGGTTTGATAAAGGAAATGAAAACAAAATAGTTTCTCTTGATGATCAACATTAATATGGCAGATTTTCAGGGAATATTAGAGCTGTACACTAGAATGGGAAATTGAAAAAAGACACCCCCCCCCCCAAAAGAGCAGCAAAGCACTTCTGCATTGCAGCCATTTTAAATTTGGGTGCCAGCATAAAGGATCCTGGTGAGAATAGAATGCCTTTGCACCCTGCTCCTATCTGTCCTTGGATCTCCCTGTTTTTATCCCAGAAGAAGCATAGTTTGTGTGCACATCCTTTTAAAATGAAGAACAAACAGATCCCTCCTTATTAATCAGCAAAAGTCCAGTAAGGGCTAACAGAAATAACAACTTTAATATTATGTCTCTGTTTCCATTTAAGCAGATTCCCTCTGATCCCTCTCTTCAAATAATCAAAATCCAATTCCAATTCTTTTTTAAATTTTATTAATTTATTTGTATTCCACCTTTGTATTCCACCTTTGCCATGTATTCCAAGCAGCTGTCCAGAGTACATTTGGGTGACCTCTCCTTCATCTGGAGGGTTTTGGCAGTCTGGATCCAATAGCCTTTGATTTACAGGATATCATTTCATCATTCCTCACTGAAAGTGATTTCATAACTTTATTTTGTTCAATATCCCACCAACCTTTCAAAACAATGTTTTCCCAGGCAGGCTTATAGTGGTCTAAAATGACAATTTTTAAAAAAAACTAAAACAATGTTTTAAGTTTGCAACATACAATAGATTTAAAAGCTGAATTGAATTGGGTTGGCATCCTTTGAGATTTTTAATAAAGGGGCCCCATCCAGGGTTTTCTTTGAGAGGTGGTAGTGGTACATTTTATGATTAAGCTCAATTATGGCCATAATCCACGGGCTACCTGTATAAAGAAATGTGCAGGTCACGCCCTTCAGATTTGTGTGATGGCAGAGGTCCAAGTTTCAGGAGAGGAGAGGAGAGGAGAGAGGGGAGGGAAGGGAAGGGAAGGAGAGGAGAGGAGAGGAGAGTTGGAAGGAACCTTGGAGGTCTTCTAGTCCAACCCTCTGCTCAGGCAGGAAATCCTATACACAGGTGGCACGCAGAGCCCTCTCTGTGCGCATGTGCACCGTTGCCCCAGTCCTAGGCCTTCAGCTGGGTTTTATAAAACCTTTTCGCTTTAGGCCATGTGCAAAAAAAAAAGGTTCAGTCAATCAATTTCAACTTCTCGCGGGGAAAAAAAAAGATCTCGCAAAGTTGGAATTGATTAATTGAACTTTTTAGTCCCACCCAGTCTGCTGTTACCACCGCAGCCACGCCCACCCAATGGGCCACACCCACCCAATGGGCCACGCCTACCTGCACCTGACGATACATAAGTGGGTTTGGGGTTGCAGTTTGGGCACTCGGTCTCTAAAAGGTTCACCATCACTGCCCTATACCATTTCAGACAAATGGCTGTCCAGTCTCTTCGTAAAAACTTCCATTGTTGGAGCATTCACAACTCCTGGAGGCAGGTTGTTCCACTGATTAATTGTTCTAACTTCTGAGTTCTAGGTTGCTTCTCTCCTTCTCTCCCTCTTCTTTATGGCAACCCCTGATATGTTGCAAAAGAACACACAGAATTTCAAGACTTAATTCTGGATGGGAAGTCTATGTTCCATCCCATGAGACTGCAGGGATTGAAAGAAAAGGATGATGACATAGCCAGTGTCAAAACCAGCCAATAGAGATCTAGAGCCAAAGGCTTAGACAAGTTGCGCCATGGATCTGAAGCCAAGAAGCACTGCTTAATAGAGAAGATTAGAAGAATAGTAGAGATCTAAGTTAAGTTTGATGTATCCAAGAAAGCAGTTCAGTCACAGGTTCTGACACAGGTGAGGTTGGAAGACAGGTTAAAATGTATATTGTCCCCAGCCTGATTATGTTTTATAAAGTTTCCAAAAGTTTACTGCCATGCCCACTTCCCACCTCAGCTAGCGCTCTTCATAATTCTGATGCTTAGGAAAGCCTGATTCTGCAGTGTGCCAGTCCTTCTACCCTTCAAAGTACTCAACTGCCAAGATGCTGCTTGGGATTCAGAGGCTACAGATCAAAGACTGGATCTGCAAAATCTGAAGGTGTTGAAAGGAGTCGATATCTTGCTTCCTCCATGTGGGCTCTTGGGCCAGTGACTGGGCAAGATAGAACTTATGGCTCTAGTGCAGGGGTCTTCAAACTTGGCCCTTTTATGACTTGTGGACTTCATTTCCCAGAATTCCTCAATCAGGCACGCTGGCTGAGAAATTCTGGGAGTGGAAGTCCACAAGTCATAAAAGGGCCAAGTTTGAAGACCCCTGCTCTAGTGCATTTGGAGAGAGCCAGATTGTGGAAAAAGGACTGAAAGAGAAAAGGAAGGAAGAAGCCGATGTCTGATATGTGCAGCATGTAAACATTTGTTTCGATAATGGTGAGGAACAATTTGGTCTGCTTTCAGGGAGTAAAATATCTTGGGAATTATAATTAATATAGCAGAGAGTAACAGGCTAGGAAAAGCCGCTTTAATAGAATTTCCCTCAAGAATGACAATTCTGTGAAAAGTTAATATTAATGAAAGTTGTATCATTGGCAGGAAAACATTTTTCTCCTTATATTTTACCAAAGGATGTGGTGTTGTTAAATTAGGATCTCTCTCTTCTTCTCTTCTCTTTTCTTCTCTTCTCTTTTTGAATTTCAAAGCTCGACCTTGGTTCTAGCAGGGAAGATGGTATTGCTGTTGCTGATTGTAGAGAGCCATGACAGATAATCCTGAAAGAAACAGGCTGATACTAGGGAAGGAAATGGATGTTGTGGCTCTTCTCCAGCTTTCAAGGACATTGTGTTCTTTGCTCAGGAAAAAAAAAACCTGCAACATTCTTTTTTTCTTCTTATTGTTAGTTTGTCATCCCTTTGTAGAGCATTTACAAAGTTCTCTGCATGCACAACCATACATGACTTAAAATATGAATATCTGATGGAGTGCTGAACTCTTATGCATCTGCCCATCAATTAAAGATTCAATGGACAAGCTCCCTTGAGACTAGTACATCTGCCAGTGAGGGGCTCTGCTCAGCCAAAGAGAGACTACAAGCTCATTTCCATCTCCCTGGCTGTGGAATTTCCTTCAGCCGGCCCTGAGCTTTATCAGCTTTCAATGCCAACAAATATCCCTTCATCCCTGTCCAGGCTGAAGTTGCTGAGCCATCTATTCAATCAATCTGTTCCAATTTATCATAAATGGCTTTTTAATGGTTCTCTGCTTCTCTGGGGATGTGCCTTTAATGAGGAAAGAAGACAAAATATGTTACAAATGTAAACAATGAAGGCCTACCCTGGTGTTTGAAATCATCTTCCCCCACATGTTTGTTCAAGAAGGATCTGGAGGCCTCATGTTTTATGGTGCATCTTTCAAAGATGTAATGATTCAAAATAGACCTGAGTATATCTGCATTCAAAAGGTCACATTTTGAAAACTGAACAAATCTATTCATAATAGAAAAAAGCTAACTATTTTAAATGCTAAAGGTTAACTTCCACTAAAGTAACACAGAACAAACATAGAAAAAAGAAAGAGAAGCCAAACCTTAGGCACATACAAGTAAAAACAATCATAATAAAAGAAATAATACTAATGAACCCCCTCCCCATTACCACACCCCAACTTCCAGCTAAATGAGTATAAGCTTGCCTTTCCTCTCCATAGTTGTCTATGGAGGGAGAATAATGATAAAAGCTGTATTTTCGCAGTTTTTTTTTTTTTTTACAAAAAATAGCTACATATTGTCCATCCTGTACAAACTTCAGATCTTATTGCTGGATTTGCTGGATCCAGACAAATAAACATTGTTTTGTGTTTTTATCTGTCTGTCTGTCTGTCTGTCTGTCTGTCTCTCTCTCTCTCTCTCTCTCTCTCTCTCTCTCTCTCTCACACACACACACACACACACACAAACACACACATGTTATATGACAGCTAGTTTGGTGTAGGGGTTAAGTCAACAGGCTAGAAATCAGGAGACGTTGAGTTCTACTCTTGTCTTAGGCAGTGGGTGACTGTTTTTCAGACCTAGGAAGCAGGCAAACCACTTCTGAAATCTCGCCAAGAATAGGGCAAAGACCAGTCCAAGCAGTTTCCAGGGTTCGAGGCTGACTCAAAGGCATGAAAAAAAAGGTATATGGATAACCAATATAGTTTAAGCATAGCTGGATACTGACAGTACAAAAATTTTCTTTGGTCAGCTTTTTGCTGCAGAAGGCCTGCCTGTCTTCTGAATAGTCGCTCGATCCCTAGCTCGTGCCCACCCAGCAATTCGAAAGCATGCAATGTTGCGAGTAGATCAATGGGTACCACTTTGGTGGGGAAAAACCTAGCTGCATTTGTGTGTGCAGAGAGTGGAAGCCAGTGCTGGACCTGGCCAGACATGAGGCATCATGACACGAGGCAAGATGAGGTGAGACTGATGGAGGAGCCTGGAAGAGCCAGCAACCTGAGTGCCACTAGTTAATTGGTGTAAGCTAGGTTGCCCCCCCCCCCAGTGCATCAAGGATAGACATGCAAGTTCCAAACGGAACGAACTAGCAATCTAGGTTGTCAGGAATGCATTGTGTCTGACATTGTATGCCATGTGCTAAATAAATAAATGCTACCCACTAGCAGGAAGTTCAGCAATTACTCTTTTTATGCTCTGCATCTTCTTGAGGGCTCCATTGCTCTACAATTGTGGCTGCCACAGATGTATTGATTTAATATATGTGCATGAGCGATTTTTATTCATTTATTTGAAGTATATTTATACAACTTTTCTGTATATTTTCTAAAACTAGACAGAGAGAGCCAGGCGAAGGGAAAGTAGAGGCTAATATTGAATATTCTTGCTTTGACAGTTACATTTTTTTCTAAAAGCTGGATCCAGAAATTGAGAATCTGTAAGCCTCAAATAATTTCTCTTTGTCTTTTAATGTAAGAAATATCTCTTGGTTTCAGCAGAAAAGTTAGATTTGAGATAATCCTTGACTGTGATAAAAGAGCATAATATTCAGGAAAGTGTTAAGTGTAAAAAATATATTGATTTCCAACACAGGTTTCTGCTTTGATAGGGCATCAAATTCAGTGATTGTGTGGGTTCTGTGAATGCTAAACTTGTGGAGAATTTGCTGTGTGGAGAGGATGGTAGAGAGCAGGGGTCTTCAAACGTGGCCCTTTTATGACTTGTGGACTTCAACTCCCAGAATTCCTCAGCCAGCGTGCCTGATGTGGAGATACCTTCCAGTCCATTTGTGAATATATGCAGCTGTGGCAAAATGATAGTCCTGCATTCCCTTTTCAATTGTTTGAAACTTGGAGAGTTAGATTTAAAGGAGGGTTTCATTGCTGTTAAATGACCCAATGCAACACACTCTTTTTATTTTTCCTTAAATGCATTATAATGATTTGGGGTGTCTTCTCCAGCATCACAAACAGACTCAGGTGGATATTTATGAGAAGTTGCCAGTTCCATTTGGCTTGGTTCGTTTTGGAGTGGCTCCTGATCACCCAGAAGTCAAGGTTGGTACTAACTTTCTTTCCGGTATTAGCAGTCATAAAAGGGATCTACTAAAGTGGAGGCAGGAGAGGAGCTCCTGAAATTATTTCCTTTCTTCTTCTCGCCACCTTCTTTTCATTCCATTTTTGTCTTGCCGTTTGATCTGCATATAACCTTTAGAAAATATGAGAGATCTTGTGGGGGATAACAGCATACTATTTAAGCAAGATTTGGAAATATGTACTACGTACTAGCATTCAGAAGAGGTGTTTTATGATGCACAGTACTATGAAAGAAACGCTCTCTGAATTGTGAAAGCAGACGTGCCTTTTGCACACTTTGTGCAGCTGCTTCCAAAGCTGTCTTTCTTTTCTCTCAGTACCGTATACTTGTGTGCCTACAGCCACTTTGCTTCATGGGTGGCCTCAACAGAAGCTTACACAGACCTCAAGGAACGCTTTTGGAAGACGCCAAAAGAGTCTTCCAAAAGACACGGCTGCTTTAACAGTTTGAAAAGAGGAACTTTATTTGCCTTAACACTTTTTTTTGCAAAGCACCTCTTTTGAACACAGCCCTAATATTTCATGGCATTCTGTGGGTGGTTTTTTTTTAATGCCTGATGTCTTGCTTTTGTCAGATGGAATGGACCAGTAATTAAGATCACTTGAGTTTGGACAGGTAAACCTGATGATAATGCACGGTGTTTTCCCGTAAGCAAGATATAACCTTGTCTACAACTAGAATGTCCACTGCTGGCAATAGGGCATATTACCTTCTTCCTGTGACTGTATCTGGAAGAAAAATGTGCTGTTTTAATGGAGCTGACTGGCCTGGTGCCAGCCTGAATCGCAAAGTGAGATGCTGCTCGAGATGCTGCAAAGTCATCAAACCTGGCCTCGTTCTTTTTGCTGTAGCCTCCTGCTTGGGCGCTTAGCCGCTGGGGACAAGGAGATGGCTTTCAGATGGAACCTCTCTTGACCTCTCTCCCCAGAATGTGATCAACACATTTACCCAGACAGCCCACTCTGACCGCTGCTCTTTTTCTGGGAATGTGACTGTGGGGAGGGATGTAACGGTGGAGGAGCTGCAGAAGGCCTATCACGCAGTGGTCCTGGTAAGTGTGTTCTTGTCTGTGATTTTAATAGGCTCAAGAGGAGGAATAGCATTTGTGAGGACAGGAAGGTATGTCAGGAGTGATACATCAGAGCATATGTTGTTTTTCATTATATAGTAGTCCTCAACTTGCAACCATTTGGTTGTAAGTCTACAAAAATAAAATAGCTGCTTCTCTTAATTCATGTACTGTAGGTGAACAAATGCAAATGGCCAATGGCAAAGCCCCCAACTGGGTTTTAGTAGGATGCTAGGAACATTCTTGAAGTTCTGCTAAATTCTGCTAAGGCACCAGGACCATGGCACTAGGGTAGCCATGATGATCCTCCAGTAGTGTCTGGGATTTGCTCCAGAGAAGCCACGCCCACCCCATTGCCGGCAATGGCAAAACAGTGCCGATAACGTCACACGACGTGACATCGCGAGTTTGACAATTAAATGAATGTGTTTGGCAGAAAGATGACCTTGTTTGTCTGAGACACAAGACTGATCATACTGTCATAGACTAAAAGACCAATTTTTAAAGCATATTTCATACCATTTACAACTTGCAACCATTTGGTTAATGACTGTTCAAAGTTACGACACTAAAAGAAGTGACTTATGACCGTTTTTCACACTTACAGCCCTTGTAGTATCTCCATGGTCACCTGATCAAAATTAAGACGCTTAGCAACTGGCATGTATTTATGACGGTTGCCGTGTCCCAGAGTCATGTGATCACCTTTTGCGACCTTCTGTCAAGCAAAGTCAATGAGGAAGCCAGGTTCACTTAGCAGCCGCGTTACTAACTCAACTGCAGTGATTCACTTAATAACTGTGGCAAAAAGGTCATAAAACTCAGTTAACGACTGTCTCGCTTAGCAATGGAAATCTTGGGCTCAATTGTAGACATAGGTTGAGGACTACCTCTATTCCAGGAACAGCTGGAATATATTTCTGTCCACATATTGGGGCCACTATCATAGATAGTACAAGAAATCAGTTGTATTAGGTTTAGCTTATTATACTTTGCTCATGGTTTTCGGGTTTTTTTCTTTTCTGCCACCCATTAGGATTAGGCACGTTAGCAATGTTGTTAAATAAATACATACACCAGCATTGTAAAATCCTGGACCATCTTCCCATGACATGTTGGACTGAGGTATTCACAACTCTCCTTTGAATTCTGATGTTTGGATTTGGCTGAAATATGCCCACTAAGCCTGGTTCACATATCCTGCTAAGCCAGTGTTTCTCAACCTTGACAATTTTAAGGCATGTGGACTTCAACTCCCAGAATTCCTCAGCCAGCAATGCTGGCTGTGGAATTCTGGGAGTTGAAGTCCACATGCCTTAAAATTGTCAAGGTTGAGAAACACTGTGCTAAGCTGTGAGGTGTTTAATTTTATTTAGGCTTGGGTTGCTTTGCCCTTGAATTGTTGGCTGAGCTCACAGATTTTGCCTAAATGTAATTTTTTTCACTAATGTTTCTTCACCAAATCATAAGGGATATGTTCGCATATGTTGCTAAATCATTAACAGAAGGATTCATACATTACTCTGTACAACAACCAAATCTCATCGGGGCTTAGTATGAGATATGAATGCAGCAATGGACCATGGCTTGTTTCAGTCAAAGCTTGTTTGAACAAATCCTTGTGACATGACATAAAGACACAAGTCCCGATAAACAAACTACAATTGCTGAAGTTGTACATTATACTGAGGCAGATCTAACCCTTTGCACCGAGGCTTATACAAGCAGTTTTCTCTTAATAAAACTGCGTGAGCCAAGCGGCTGCGCGTGTGCAGCCTGTGCAGAGGCAGGTAGAGACGGCTTTCAGAGCAGCCTTGTGAAACAAAAGATGTGGCTGCTTTAATAATTCAAAGACAGGTGTGTCCTTCTTGTGAAGAAGTTGCAAAGTGCCTCCTCTGGAGGCTTAGCAGAGATGCACAATTTTGCAATATGAAAATGAAATCCCTGGCATAATCCCTATATAGCAGGTTCTAATGACCCTCTGCTGTAACTTGCCGTTTCAAAGGCGTAAGGTTTTTTGAAAAAAAAAAAGTTCTATCTCTGTATTTCATCTACTGTACATCTTACATAATACATCCAGAGTCCCTCGTGACTGAAAATACCTCCTGTGATATGAGCAATTAAATGATTAAACAAGGGAAAGGGAAGGGGGGAAAGCTTAGTAGATGCCAGGACTCTGATCTGCATCAGGAGAGTTTTACACCTTTCCAGAAGGGCAGCCAACTGCAAAAGGCGATGGAGTTCCTGCATTCTGTAGCTGCAAATCAATATGGCTTGTTCCTCTCCTGAAAAAAACTATTCAAGATGTAGGACGTGGGACCAGCAAGTTGTTAATAGCATGAATGAGCCCACCGTCTACCTTTGTTGCTATTGCCTTTATTGCATCCCCCCCCCCCAAAAAAGCCCCATAAGCCTGGGCTTATGGTTTCCCACCTTTGCTGTGGCCAAAGAGGCAGGCCTAGCTACTTGCTCCCCACTCTGCTTCCTGCAATATAGAGGCCTCCCTCCTGAACCCCGCCAAAAATTGTCCAGTTCATTGTCTTATACCACCTTGGCTCAGCCTTGTCAATCAAAAAGCCAAGAACAGTGAACAGTATTATAACTCCTCTACCCATTTGCTTCAGAGAGCAGTATCTGTAATAACATAACCAACGTAATAGTGGCATATAAAAATCTCTGAGAGTTTTGCAATCAGCAGACTGACCTTGAATTGAGGGACATAATAAATGGCCTTTCAGTGCTCTGGCAACACTCACGGGGATTTTCAACTATAAAGGAAACCATTCCTGACCTTTCATTCTGCCACAGTTATTTATTCATCGGAGGGGGGGAGGAAGAAGCTGCCTCAGAAAATAGGCCATATAATATGTATTTGAGCCACTGATTTGCTTGCTGTAAAGCTTATTTCCCTTCTCGCAGTGTTATGGCGCTGAGGACAATCGGACCCTTGGAATTCCTGGGGAGGACCTTGACGGCGTCTACACGGCGAGAGCCTTTGTAGGATGGTACAATGGCTTGCCGGAGAACAGAAATGTAAGAATTTTAATGTCGCCCTTCTTTCACCTCTCCAAGGTTGCCACCTGCTCAGGCATCCAAGGGAGAGACCTGCAGTTGGAAAAGAACACATAGATACCAAATTAAATTCAGAATGGTTTACAACTGTGAACCTATTTGCAGATCTTCAGGAAGATTTCAGGAAATTTTCAAGAAGAGCCTAGACCAGGGATAGGCAACTTTGGCTCTTTTATGACTCGTGGACTTCAACTCCCAGGATTCCTGAGCCAGCATGGCTCAGCTTGGAAACCTCTCCCTTTCCCCTCAGCATGGCTGGCTCAGGAATTCTGGGAGTTGAAGTCCACGAGTCATAAATGAGCCAAGGTTGCCTATCCCTGACCTAGACAATCACCTGTCTGAGATAGTATAGGTTCTCCTGCTTGAGCAGGGGACTGGACTAGAAGACCTCCAAGGTCCCTTCTATTCTATTCTATTCTATTCTATTCTATTCTATTCTCCCTCTCTTTCATGTGCCATGAGAAGGCTAGAAGAGAAGCTCTGGGGCTTGAGAAAAAAAGAAAAATAAAGATGCATGGAGGAGTGTTTGCCATCAAGTGTGGAACATGGGAACTGCAGCTTTTGTGATGGACATGATTATGTTCCCTCCACTTTTGCTAAGCAACTTCATTTGTGAATAGTTGTCATTGTAAAATAGAAGCTGCTTAGCAGTTTTGGCTCTTCGGTGCTCTTCAAATTAGTAGTATTGGCATAAACTCAGAAATTACTGGGAAAGGGTATTTCCTTATTAAATAGGGCATCCCACATACTTTTCCCTATGAAGAAGTGATAAATATGAAGGGAAAATAGCCTTGCTCTTGTAACTTTTCCTTGTCTTACAACAGTCTTTCCCTGCAAGAAGTCTTTTGAAAGTAGACATGTTTTCCTGTGTGTTCTGTGTGATTGGACAGAATCTGTATCATTGTGCATCTTAAAGGCTATGGAAGAGCTTTCAGAGTCTCAAGCTGGTCCTAACATTATAAGGAAGAAATTCTGGTGGCTGACTGCCTTGGATGAAAGACTGGGAATGAAGCCAGGCTAGCATGAGTTGAAGGCTAACTGCAGGGGTCTCCAACCCCCGGTCCGTGGACCAGTACCGGGCTGCGGCATGCCAGCAACCGGTCCGCACAAACAAGCAAAGCCCCATCCGAGGGATGCAGGCAGCACACAAAACCACACACCCTCCGATCCGCAGAAAAACCTCTCTCCACGGAACCGGTCCCCGGTGCCCAAAAGGTTGGGGACCTCTGGCTTACTGTGAAACACCTCTTTGTTGTTCTAGCTGAAACCAGATTTGAACAGTGAGACGGCGGTCATCCTAGGTCATGGGAATGTGGCGTTGGACGTTGCACGGATTCTCCTGTCACCTCTTGAAATTCTTCGGGTAAGTTGAAACGAGCCCTAGCTCGTTTGATCACGCTGGGGAACCAAACAGTGAGGTCTGCTATCGACCTGCCAGAAAATACCCTTTCAGATAATGAAGGCTGTGGGCAGGATCCCTGATTCAAAAAACCTAGCTGACTGCAGCCATCCTGGAGTCTTGCATTTCAGGTGAACACTTGTCTGTTTTATTGGAGGGGACAAGGGTACATCCTGCATCTGCTGCTGCAGGAATGGGGTTGCTGCATGTGAAGCGTTCTTCCAAAGTCCTCCAGGAGAAGGCTTCCGGTTTGCTTTGTGTTCTGCTGCCTTCCTTACTTTGGGGGCATGACCCTTTCCTCCTTCCCTGCTTCTCAATAACCTTCCCCAATTCTCCCTTTTGCCTTAAGGTAGTGGGGCAGTTTTTGCTTCTCTTTCTCCTTCTGGAGCAGTGAATAGGTTTTGGCTTTAGGAAGTGCCACCATGAACTCCCAAGATATTCTTATACCTTCAAGTAGAGGGGGGCAAAACTGCATACCTAAGGCCAGATTGATCCTCCAGCTTTGTCTATTTCTTCCCAGATGTGCTTTTCCTTAGGCTTTGGAGGCAGAAAACACACGAAAGCTATTGCCTTGAAGTTTTGGAAGTATCTCTTTACTGAGACTTAAAATGTGGGTTTTAAGTCTGCTTTTTGTACGTTGCTAGCTGCTTGAATTCTTTTTTTAGAAAGGAAAATGAGATTAAAATATTGGTAATCAGTGCATCGGGGTTCAATGTGCTGTTATTTGTGTGTTTTCATGCCTTTTTTTCTCACATTAATAATTCCCATCAGTGTTGCCTCTCCCCCTTCCTGCTCTCCTCTTCTCAGCCTTTTCCCTTTCCATCACAGTGTTGATGTGTTGTCAGCAGACGCAGCATTGTGAAAAATGGCCCAAAATGATGCATGCTGTCCTACCAAACTGCTCCATTACTATGGCATTAACCCGAGAGAAGGTCTTTGCATTGAATGCAATTTATTTGAACAGATGGCTGCTTGTTCCAGGTTGCCTGCCCTAATCCGTGTTCTTCCTTCCCCCTTAGAAAACCGACATCACTGAAGAGTCCTTCTCAGCCTTGGCCAGCAGTAAAGTCAAACGGGTGTATCTTATTGGCAGAAGGGGTCCCCTCCAGGTGGCTTTCACCATAAAGGTAAAAAAAAAAAGCGGAGGGAGGGCAGTTCTGTAACAGGTCTTGATCTCTAGCAAGGTTGTTTGTGCTACAAAGACAAGTTCACATGAAGACAGATATGTGTAAGAAGGCCACTGAAAAGCCCTCCCAACTTCGAAGCCTTGAGTGCAACCCTGAAGCCCTCCGCAAAACTGCCGTGACTGATACTGCAATTGACAATATAAACATTGTGAAATACTTAGGGAATAAGCATATGCATGTATGTCAGCCCAACAAGATAGACCAAACTAAGAATTAGATACAGTTCAGACCTACATTTATTGCTAACAGACTCTGCAAGTCTGAATGTGCTTCCCCCGTTTCCCCCCCCCTCCACTTTAACTTTGTGTGAACTAGGAAGAGGTTTTCTCATATTACTTTTTTGGCTGAGCTCAAGATCCTCTTATCAGACTGTGGCATTGATAGCTGCTCTCCCTCCTGTTACTCATAGTCATTCTCTATATCCTCTACAATGTATGACTATTCATTATTTTCACTTTAAAATTTTTTTTTTTTTATTATTAAATTCATATGCCGCCCATCTCACTGCCTAAAGCTACTCTTTTTGGTTCTTTTTCCTCTCACTTTGGGGGAGAGCAAGTGTAGAGTACCAGTCAAAAGGGCAAAAGAAGCGTCCACATTGTAGTCCCTGTTAAGATCAGTCACTGACTATGGTTTGGAAATTGAAGTAGCCCCATCATGTTGGATGCTCAAGCAGGAAATGAATGTACTGCTCTGAATCTAATGAAACTGCATCCGGTTCATGGTTCTGAAGGAGGAAAGGATGCCCAAGGTTCATCTCACGCTTGTTGATGTGATAGGAGTGCACTGTTCTTCTCAGGGTTGTTTCATGGCACCTTTGCATCAACTTACCTAATCAAAATCATGTGATACGCTTTCTATGAGTATCATCTTGATTAGCTTGTAAATGTCAGCTTTGCTTTTGAAGTTTTGGTTGCAGCTGCAAGGATTAAGCAGAGTTAGGAAAGCTTTAGATCCAGGCATGCTATAATTCTCAGGAAATTCTTTTTTTTACTCTCAATAATACCTGCCCAGGTGACAGTGCCTAGCCAGTTTTGGCTGATTTTTGAAAACGAAACCTATTACTGTCTCTATGTTTGAATGTCAGTCTTCCTACCGTCACCTACATTTTTGCCCTGTGTTTCTGTGTCTGAAACCTTCAGGAACTGCGGGAAATGATCAACCTACCCAGTGTTAGACCTTTCCTGGATCCTGCAGATTTCAGAGATCTTGGGGATGCCATTAAAGGTGAGAATCAGCCAGATACTTGTTGATAAAACTAGCATAAACTAACAGATGAATATCTGACATCAGCTAAATCTCCAGTCCTTGCTTAACAACAGCAATTGGAACCAGAATTTTCATTGCTAAGCAATGCAGTTGTAAAGTGTAACATCACATGACTGCATCACTTGTAGTGACAACAATCTCAACCGGCCCTGTTGCTGTTGTGAACTGAGGATTGTGGGTCATTAAGTGAGGACCTCCTCACAACTTCCTGCTGGCTTCCCACAAGCGAAGTCAATGGGAAAGCTGGCGGGAAGTTTCAAATCTTAGGTGGGTGCTGGGTGAGGGTAGATGTGCAGGCTGCCATCATGGCACTGGGTGAGACTGATGCCAGGTCAGTGAAGAACCTCATACACCATAGCCAGATTCCTCAAAAGAAAAAGCCACGTTGGTGCGAGCAATTTACAGGAGCAAGTTGCAACCTTTCCTTCTGATTTCCCTGTTGACTTTAGTTGTGGGAAGGCACTAGGGAAAGTTGCAACTGGCAATCACATGACTGTAGATACTACAACTGTCATAAATATGAGCCACTTGCCAAGCACGCAGATTGTGATCACAGGACCATGGGCTAGAACGTCAAAGACTCGTTGTAAGTACCACTCATTCAGTACCATCATAACTTTGGACAGTCCAAATTCTCTAAATGGGAATTTTAGTTCAAAAGCTAGGTGGGCTTTCCCCTTTTCTTCTACTGGGTTGTTCTCATCTAGATTGGTTTCACTAACATTTATCATATTTTTATTCACAATTCTTACATTGCTTGTAAAATGCCAGGAAGGACTGAAAGACAAATAATTGCAATAAATTAATTATGGGAACAAAAGTTTTAGGCTTCTATAACTGAGACTGGTATGATAGATGGCTTAGCCCAACACATCTGGAGCAGGCCAGGTTGGGGAACAGAAGTGACATATCATATCTAAAGAATCAGGTTGTTTATTAAAATAGAATTAGAAAGGCACAATGTTGACACTGAGCATTTTAAAAATTGTTGTGGCCAATTTTTAAAGCTAGGATTTTGATCAATTACAAAAAGTTAAGCTTTCTAGTTTGTACTTCTAACCTGACTTATCCCAGGGGTTTAAAGAATAGCCAGTGAGAGAGACACACTCAGGAAGAAAAGCAAACAGGGCATATAAACACTTTCAGTTGCGGAAATGGTCAAATAGACAGACAGAAAGGAGGAGATATTTCCTCTTGTCCAAGTGACTGGAAATTCATTCCATAGATTTGCATGGGAAGAAAATCTTCCTTGCTTAAAATTAAATGGTGAGGGGAATAAAAACTACTCACTACTCATTAAGACAGAGATATCTCCATTCACCCATCCGCCAGAACTGGGAAATTGTCTGGCAATCTCCTCAAAGTAATCTCCTGTCATACAATGTATGACTGTCTTTGGGCCCACCTTTATCACCCCAGAGGTATAGAATAAGGAGAAGCAAAACCCCAAAATACTGTGAAGGTGCAAAGAGAAGCTAGGTTCCATGAATGAAGCAATTTGGATTTGGATTATGTGAATTATGGTAGGTTTCTGTAGGCTTCCAGATGTTGCTGAACCACAAATCCCAGAATCCTTCTCCCCCATTTATTATGTAGTTGCTAGGTATACATTGGAGAGTAAAGGTGCTCCACTCTAATATGGTTCTGATTTTCTCTTAATATGGTTCTGATTTCCTCCTCGCCCATTTCTGTGCTTGAACATCAGCAGGAATCTTAGATGGGTCATCTAAATGACAATTACTAATGTCTTGAGGTAATTCAGTAGCCAGGGCCTTGAATAACTTGGATATTTTATAATGTAACAATTGGCCAAAATGATCCAGGCCAAATGAAAGCAATTGTGAATCATAATCATTAGGTATAATGATTGAAGCCAGACAGAAGCTCATTTTAAATCCCTGGAAAACTGAATCCAGTTGTCCCCTTCCTCAAATTCCATGTGAATTGTTATGAAGGGACAAATTTGTACAGCAGCCACCTTTTGAAATGGTTTAGTGCTCCGTGTTTTCAGTGAGCCAGATGCATCTCCTAGTTTTCTCTCATTTTCCATCAGAACATCTCTTTGTAATAATAATAAACGGCCACCTGTGCTGCCTGGTTGAATTGCAGTGTTTTGAACAAGCAGTGTGCTTTGTAACCCTGGGAGAGAGCTGGAACCCTTCCCTGGCTGAAGAAGCCCCATAAAAGGAGGGGTTTTTTGAGAGAAAGAAGCCCCATAAAAGGAGGGGTTTTTTGAGAGAAAAAAAGCAGAGAAGTATGTGGCAAAAGATGCAATTGAACAATGTAAATTAGAAGAAACTGTAGGTGGAATGTTTTTTTCAGGAAGGTTAGATAAATTCTGTGCTCAAATTTCTATTTCAACACTGAGCTGGCCTAAATTGCCTTTTTTCTTATATCAGTAGAGTTTGTGCTGATACGTTTTTTCTAATTTCAAAAACCAGGCTTCTTCTCTTTGTTTACATACTAAGGGAGGATCTTTTTGTGGACTCCCTGCTGGTAATAAATTGCCAGTTTACATGGCTTTGACTGAGAGAGGGTAATCTGGGATTTTTTTTTATCATACCACCTCAGTGGACTTTCATTCATGGTGACCACTCATTTTTGTATTCAGGACACATTCATTCAGCATGCATTTGCCTTCTTAAATAATTACTTCCTAATGAATCCAATTTTCATATTTGTCCTGATGCCCCTATTGCAAAATAGAGAATAATGAACTGATATACGTGGCCGTTTTCCTCCTTTCCACAACATACCACACATTAGCCCTACCTTTCTCGGTCGACAACACGGAATCTTCTGCAAATAAATGCACACATTCACATTGCCAGTCAAGCCAACTCTAACTTCACCACAAGCATTTCTTTTTAAACAAACAAAAAAAATTCATTAAGTTTCAACAATCAAAAAGTTAAAATACAAAATTGCAACACAAAAGGAAAAGTGGCGGGAAGAGGACAACAGGGAAAGTTTAAAAAGTGACATAAAAAAACACACCAAAAATAACATAAGAAAAGAAAGTGAGTGTGTGTGTGTGAGAGAGAGAGAGAATGAAAATCAGTGTCAGACCTGCCTCAGCTTGAACTTCTTAAGTAAGAAGGATCCTTAACTCCATTTGTTGAGAAAAGCAAAGTTTACTAAAAGTAATGTAAATTACAGTAATGCATCGCCAGAACTCACACGCCAAAATCCCGAAACCTAAATTTTCCCTCCCTTACTTGCCTCCCATCACTGCCCCCCATCTCCAATCAAATTCAGACAAGAGGTTTTTAGAATGGCCACTTCAGATGTAGGTTTGGTATGCAGCTGTGTTCCATTCCCAGCTGGTTTGACCTTGAAGCCCATCTCGCAGTGAAAATACGGTGAAGTTTCGTTTCCCCTCAAAGCATCCCCCTGCTTCCTATGAAGCCCCCCTTGAGTTCATGGCAGCTGATACTGAATGGTTGTGAAGCACAAGCATGAGGTGACAGCTGACAATCAGGTTTTTTTCCAGGTTATTCTTTTCAGCATCGCACAGGGGCAAACTCCGTCCCCTGGAAAAATCCCTTGTTTCCCAATACTTTTGTAACTTTCAGACCTCCCAAGACCAAAGAAGCGCCTGACTGAGCTGATGATCAAAACAGCTCTGGAAGAACCGCCAGAGGAGGTGGGTGGCCGCTGGGCTTCCGCATCCAAAGAGTGGAGATTGAAGTTTCAGCGCAGTCCGCTGGAAGTGTTGCCCACCATGGATGGAAAGAGAGCAAGAGCGATCCAGTTAGCTGTCAACAGGTTGGAAGTACGATCTCAAAGCTTTTCCTTTCTGGCCCTTCAACCCTCTTAACTCTCCCCCTGTCCTTAATTTATCCCTTTAAGGTTGGCAACAACCTCCCCACTTTTAGCAATAAGTTAAATATAGTTTTATTTTCCCACTCTGCTTAGAAGAATCAGGGTAACTGCCTGCTCTTTGCTTAAAAGGTAGGCTTTCAGTAAGCCACTATACGTGTCTCCAAGGATTCATGTTCTGTGTAGCACTGTGGAAAGAACTCTTGTTTGTTTTGTATTGATGCCTGTGATAGGAGGCTGTCCTGGTAAGAAAGCTGATTACCCAACCAACATCTAGGAGGAGAATTGGCTAAGAACTGATTTGCAGCTATTTTTTTGTTTGTTAGACTCCATAGCATCTTAAGGTGGGCTCCCATTCCATTCACACTTCCTCAAATGCTGTTTGAACCATGGGGATACCTGATCATGCAACTGATTTTTAGGATGGTCACTCTAACATTGTTCTTCTCCGTTTTCCTGTTCCTGGACTGTGCAGGCTGCAGGGGATGCTGTGAAAGCAGTTCCCACTGGAGAGATCGAGGAACTGAGGTCTGGCCTGGTTTTTAGCAGCATTGGATACAAAAGCCTTCCAATTGATCCCGCAGTACCCTTTGACAGCAAGCGAGGTGTTATTCCCAACAATTCAGGCAGAGTTCTTGGGGCACCAGGTTAGTAGAACTCGTGCTGTGCCCCATAGAACAAATTGGTGTGATAAAAGACAAATGGGGAATCAGACAGTTCAGCTCCAAGGCTGGACAATGAATGGTCAGCGTGAATTATTGGGATTCAGATTGCATATTATTATTATTTATTATTATTATTTAAATTTATATACCACCCTATCTCCCTTACGGGACTCAGGGCGGTGAACAGGCAATAATAAAAATCACAATAAATATTAAATAAAAAGCCTGCTCTAAAATACCCCATATAAAAACCCCTACCAAAACACAATCAAAACTACGCCAGGCCGCCTATGCTATCCACTAAAAAAACTACGCCAGGCCGCCTATGCTATCCACTAAAAAAAAAGAAGAAGAATTGAGCTTTTCCAGACCTCATCTTGTATTGGTGTTGAATGGATAGCGCAAGTATATCTTCTCCCTGGCATTAGCAGGAGACTTTGAATGAATGTACCACAAGAAGTCACTGCAGACTCGTGGCCATTGCTTGGATCTGTTCAAAACAAAGCATTGGATCTCAGTTGCCTGGTTGGGCATTATGTTTTTCAGGGCTCTATTGCAGTGGTTGGGTAAAAAGGGGACCCACAGGTGTTATCATCACAACTATGAACGACAGTTTTGACACAGCCCAGTCTGTTCTGGAAGATCTGCAGTCTGGTGCCTTGCAACTCTCCAGTGCCAAGGAAGGCTTTGATTTAGTGAGCCACATCCTTCAATCCCGAGGTATGTGACGTATTTTTGCAATTGCCTCTTAGTCTCCCATATACCCTGTTTTCCAATCTTTTTTTTACATATTTATTTCTTACCTTCAAAGATAAAATACAAAACAAAGAAAAAGAGAAAACAAACAAACAACAAAAACCATGTGTGTAGGGAAAAAACAGATATTGAATACATCATTGACAACTGCTGCCCTGCGCGACTCCCCCATCGCGCAGGTATGGCCCAATTCCATTCCAAGGGCCAGCCTCGATGAAGGGATCTGGAACCCAGAGAGGTGGCACTCAGCGACAGCACTGAGGGACCTAAGAAGACAAAGACTACGGGTCTTCTTAGAGGGGTGCTTTTCTAAATTTTTAGGGGGTTCGGGGTTGGCCCGAGAGGAACTAG